TACAGATTTCTAACCTGAGAGCCACTGAACTTATTTAACAAGAAAAAAAAATCTTAGGACAAAGTATGTTTGAGTTATTTTTTATATAGTTTATTAATGGTCTATTCATTTTAATCTAGTTTTAGGGTTTATCCAGATATTGAAAAAAAATTAGGTCAATTCTATAACAGCAAATTTCATAAGGTAGAGCACTTGCTTTAGAAAATTACACAAAATTTCTTGTCTGGGTCTGTCCTAACAATCTAAAACTTAACAAGAAAAATTCTCAACAGCCAACAGGTTTCTCTGTTTTTACAGTTGAAAACCATATTTTACAAAAAAAGTATTTTCAAAATGGAAAATTTGGTTCCGATTATCATTGAAATGTACGGACATCTGCTTCAGAAAGCAGTCATGCCCAAAAATTTCTACAAAAGTTTCTACTTGTGACTTTTAAAAGTGGGAGGGGTAAAGAGACATTAAGTGACTTGCCAGTGGGAATAGAAAAAGTTGCTCAACACTTGCTCTTCCCTGGGTCTTGCCAGAGTTCTACAGGCATTGCAGAGCTCAGCATTTAGGGAGCACTGACTTTCAAAGTCATGTCTCCTCCAAATATATTATTTATTTTGTTTTTCTTGGATCAAGGATAAATAGACAAGTACCTTCTTCAGCTCAGAAGCTCCCTGTGGTCCAGGGGTAGGCTCTCCCTGGTAGGAACCAGCCATGAAGAACTGTCCTCTGAGGACACCTGATAAAAATTCATGGCACAAGCCTGGGTACATGGTGCCACTATCAAGTTGGAGCATCACAATGCTTCAGATGAAGAAAATGAGCACAATTTTAAGAAAAATGGACAACTGATTTCCTCTTTCAAATTGCTTCTTCCAAAAGTTGTGGTTCTCTGAAACTCTTACAGGTCTTTCAGAGTCTATCCCTAAAACTGTGCAGGTATGTGAGTGGTAAAATACATTTAACATAAAATTTACAAATCATTTTTCACTATATAATAGCATTAATTACATTCACATTGTCATAAAACAATTACCACTATTCAACTCTAAAACTTTTTCATCTTTCCAAAGTGAAACACCATACCCATTAAACAATACCCATTCCTCCCCTTCTTCAGTCTCTGACAAGCATATTACTTTCTGCCTCTATGAATCTAACTGCAATCATGTAAGTGGGAAATTTGTTTTAATCCACCCACAAGGTTGATTTCTAGAACTGAAATAAATCCCAATAGCAAGGGCAAGTGCCATTTTCAATTCTATCTCCTCTACACACACACCAACACAGGCATGATTTATCACTGTAGTAGTTAAGAGTCAGAGATCCTTTTCCTTTGCAAAACAAAAGACAAAGTCACTTTCCTGTGACTGATCAAGCCACAGTGATTCTCCCAAGAAGGAAGCTGGGAAATATTTAGCATCAGAATGTCCAGGAGAGAGCTAGAGAGCTTGGGGAATGCAGCAAAAGTAAGCACCAATTCACAAGTTCTTCTTAAGATCTTGGCCTGAAAAGGGGAATATCCAGGTCAGGATTCCAAACCACTAAGGCTTCTAGATAAGGTGTCTATAAAAGGGAAGGTTAAGGTAGATCTTGGTGAAACCTAAAAAAGAGGAAATGCCAAACTACAGGAGATATCTTACTATGAGGAGATAGTTTATATAAAAAGATGATGGCCTGCTAAGCTCTCCCTAGCTTTCCCATGAGAATGGTCCCACATAATTTGTTTCAGATGATACATATAAGAAAACCCTAAAATATGCCCTTGTTAGTATCCCAGCAGCAAGTCATAGGATAAAACACAGCAATAGTTGGTCACCAATGATAACAACAACTAACCCTAAAATATGCCCTTGTTAGTATCCCAGCAGCAAGTCATAAGATAAAACAGCAATAGTTGGTCACCAATGATAACAACAACTAAATTTTACTGAGTATTTATTCAGTGCCAGAAACATTTACTAGGTATTTTGCACAGACTTTAATATTTAATATTCACAACAACTCCATGAAGTATAGATACTGTTATTACTCCATTTACACAGAAAATACAAGTTAATTCTGTAAATCAGGCATAAATTTCCTATGTTCATATATGAATACATCAGCAGGGAAACCTAGTGTATACAACCACAAGAATGGGATCCTAATTAGAATAAATTATACTCCCATGTATGTATAATGTCAAAATACACTCTACTGTCATGTGTATCTAAAAACAACAAAAATAATTAATTCTGTAAAAATGTGACACACTCAAGATCATACCGATTATAAAGAAGTTTCACTACAAGGTCTATGTCTCCAAAGCCTATGCTTTTAATTAACAGCCTTTCAAGGTAGAAGGTAATTTCATGCCCTCATGGCCAAGAAAGAAAATTACTATTCATTAGAAATCTCTTGATTAAAAATTGTTTATGCTTAAAAGCAGCCCAAATTAAGCTTCAGGTTAAATGTGGAACAAGGGCAAGATTCAGGATCCAGTCCCTGGAGGTTGGACATGTGATCCTAGTCCAGTCATTCAAGCTCTGTAGACTCAGTTTCCAGGGTACTTACAAAACAAGGTTATTTCCCTCCGCACTCCCCCTACCTCAAAACATTCCATGAGGTCAATTACCTGTGGTGAGATAAGGCTGATATCCAAGGATGAACCTATGGCCAAAGGTTTCAATCTCTTTCTCAATAATTTTCTTTCTACTTATTAGATTTTCTCACAAAAGTTATCAGTTAACCAACAAATAACTGCCCAATACCTGCTATTTGTGCAGTGATATGATAGTCAATAAGTAGTATTCAAAAAAAAAAAAAAATACAAAGTACCATCCTTGGTCTGAAGACCTATCTCCAAGTTTGGTAACTTAAAAGATAAATGAAACAAAAGCACCCAATTGTGAGATACAGCCTCGAGATATTAAGAACACCAGCAGGAACTAGAAAAGTTCAGGTTTTCCAAAACAAAGTGAAATTCTAAAACATCCTTAAGAGATAACTTGTGTGAGGGGGGGAGAGGCAACCAGCAAAAGGAACCCTGGGAACTACAAATTAGAGTTTAGATGGAGTAATGTACAGAATGGGTGACCACAAAAAAGACTAATTCATTTCCTCAATTCTTGGTGGGCATATAAGTAGTGGTAATGAAGAGAGAAGCCAGGTATCAGAACACTTTAATGCTTGGCATGTAAGCTAAACTTGGAGTAGGAAAAAAGGCAATGAGTTCAGTGACCTGATGACACTGGAAGTAGTTGGTTTGAATTTCTTTTCTACTCTCTGCCTCTTCTACTAGAAGAAAAGCAAAAGAACATTTGCAACTAGGTGTCCTAAAGCCACAGATATCATGGATGTTCTATTCCAGATATCATGGATGTTCTATTCCAGCTGAGAGCACCAGGGAACATTGTGCCAAAGAGCTCTTGGGGTGCAAGGAATCATTACATTTCTGAACACAGAACTGGGAACATAGTCAGTGACCCAAAGCGCCAATCAACTGCTGATAGTCAGTCTCATGTCAATCTCTCAGCCCCAAGAGGCCATGGGTCAAGCAAACAGGTGTGATTCAGAATCTCTACACCACCAAAACATCACCCTGCCCTCTGCTAGCTGTTATACCAACAAGATCCTGATGAAGACACAAGGAGCTCCTGTAGCAAAGAGCAAAAGAGGATGCACTAGCAGCATTCTTGATCTGAAAATTCCCAGACTCTTCCTGTAGGAGTAACATCAAGAAGTACAGTCCTGAGCCTGTCCAAACAGGAGGTTGAGATGACACCTAACATGCTAGTTCTAATAGGGTCTAAAGTTGTTTAATGATATCACTCTGTCCCATTATAGGCACATGCAAAGGAAAGTGTTTATCAAGGTGCTCTCCAGACAGAGCTTAGTTGAGACTGTTCTCATTTAACCAGCCAGTTATTGTTTGCATCAAACCTACAACTCAGAGCAACAGCCTCCCCCTCAGCAGTACACTGCCATGGCTTGAGCTCTCCCTTAAGTCTTCTGTCCTCAAGGTAAATGGTAAGCCCTGTTCTCAACCAACACATACCCAAAGAACGAAGACATGGCCTAACATTTCTAATCCAGACATAGGAATGACCCACCTCAGCACTGTACTGAATACCTTAACAAGGGAAAAATCAGATCCTCAGATAATAATTTAAAAATTTATATGAATGTGCCTGCCAGGAAATAAACCCTGGTTAGTTTTCTCTCAACACAATTACTTAAATCCCTTCTTTTGATCCCTATTAATAAAAAGTCTCACATAAACTTTTCAATACAGATAAAACTTGATGGGCATGGTAGCATACGCCTGTAATACCAGGAGCTCTGGAAGCTGAGACAGGAGGATCACAATTTCAAGGCCAGCCTCAGCAACTTAGTGAGACCCTGTCTCAAAATTTAAAAAAAAAAAAAAAAAAAAAAAAAGGCTGAGGATTTAACTCAGTAGTAAATTGCCCCTGGGTTAAATCCACAGTTATCTGCCTTCCAAATACTAAAGTGTCATCTGACTGAGTTTCTCTCCATCCTTGAAAACACACACACACACACATATTTTTTAGGAAAGAGATCAGCACTGCATACTTCCTGAAGATTTGGGCACTTGAGTATAAAAAATCCAACTGCTCTATGCTAGGCCAGCCCTGCTATGACATCAAAACCCCCCACCAAAGAAACACCCCGGGAAAGACGCCAAGAAACGGAAACGCCTCCTTGAAACAGCCTTAGAAAGGTAATCCTGATTCAGCCCAGTGCTGAAACTATTCCTCAACACCAGCCAGGAAGTCCCTTCTTTTCCTGTGCCCAGCAAACCCAGATCTGCCTTTGCGGAATCCCATCTCTGGAACTTCTGTAAGGGGTGGGTTTAGAAAGGGGCTTCCCTGCTCTGAAGCCCTTTGGGATCCATCAGTGGCCAGGTTTTCCAACCCCGCCTAACCAATGCAAACACAAAAGCTAGTGGCTATACCACAAGCATACATTTACTTACACACACAAAACAGGCACTTATACATACATACCTTTCGCCCTCCATTGTGCGAGGCCCAGCAGGGGTGGTAGCTGCTGAACAGTGCGTATACCCGGCGATCCTAGCTCTGTTCCCGGTTCTCCCAGCAGCCCAGCGGGAGATCTGATCAGCAACAGTGATTCAGCATGGCTGCAACTGAAGCCTCCTCCCTCTCGATCCTCCTTCCTCTGACTTACTCGCGGCAGTTTCTACCGCAGAAGCAACAGCAGTAGAAAATGTCTTACCCAGAGCTCCCTGCAGTCCTTTCAGCTGCTAAAAGCAGCAACCCACTTGCTCCCCCTCCCCCCGCAGGCTTGCTGCTTCTCTGTCTCCTAGGAACAGCGGCAGCTTCTGCGACCAAGTGCAGTGCCACCTTTCCAGCTGCTTCTGCATCTGCCCAGGCATCCCCAGCTCAAGCAGCTAGCCCACTCAGGGGCTCCTGCCTCCTCTGCCTATGCTGCAAAGGATCCAGCAGTTCTTCACTAGCCCAAGAAATACTGACCCCTCCTTCCCCTACCCCTCCTCATAGCCTATGAGTCTGTCAGCCTAGCCAGATTGCTGGAATGAGGAGGCCCCTCTGTGGACTGCAGTGGAGTTTATCCACCTGGGGAAATTCACTGTAGGTTACAGTTCAGGTTCCAATTCCTCCTCCCAAAATCTACAGTAGCCCTGAGTCTGACAGATGGAGAGAAATAGGGGGAAAGAACTTGATAGAACTGAAAAGAACATAGAAATTAGAAAAAGAGAGGTGGTAGAAATAGGTGAAAATGAAACAAACCCTATTTTACTGCAAGAGGCCAAAGGCTATTGCAGCAAAGCCACCACAATGAATATTACACAGGCTTATTGCCCTAGGCCATGCTGAAAGACCACCAGTTTCACAGTACAACCCTAAAACATCTTCCTAAAGTCTGTTATACTGAAATTTATTTAACTTGTGGCTCAAACTAGCAAGTCTTCCACTAAATCTCTTATGTCCTCTAATCTCCAGATCTGGACCCCATGCTCAGTTCCTTGTTCAAACAAGGGATCACACCAGTCTCTAATGCCCTTTTAGCTCTAAAATCACTTCATTCTAAAGGTTTTTAACATCCCATTTTTCTTCTCAGTGTAATCTGTGTGATTATTTGAAAAATATTTAATGGACTCGAGTTTTGTAGGGAGCTTCAGGGAAGATATAGCATGATGCATGTAAAAGCAAGAGAGATGCTCAGTACATCTATTATTCTTATTCTGATTTTCACTGTTACAAAGCCCTGAAATCACAGAATGGAGGGAAGAACATTGAGTTGAGTTGACAAAGACTTAAAAACAAAACAAAGCAAAAAAAACCACTTAAACTCTACACAGCCTCCTGAACTCAAACCAGCTAGGATGTTATTCTCCAAGACTAACCCCCTTGATATCTGTGTCCTCTTAGATGGGGCCATCCCCCAACTCACTCAAGTGAGAAGAGGCCCGGGTATCTTATCTACACTCTATAGCACTGTAGCTTCATGTTTTCTTTCCACAATACCCCTCATATCTTTCTCCCTTTATGTCCCTTTATGCCCCTTCCTCCTCTAATCAGCCTTGTAGCTCTGCTCCATGTTTCCTCTTGAGGTCAATCACAGGGACCACAAAAAGCTGAACATCACAAACAAGGAAACTGAATCCCAGAATCCGTGCCAGAGCACAGGCATCCACCAGGAAAACAACTGGGTGATTCATAAGAGGAACATAAGAATGAGATGACTTGTCCTTTGTACATACCCTCATTCACATCTTCATCATACAGGAAAGAGAGGAAATGCCACATCTAACAAACCAGATAAAGAAAAAAGTTCAGAAAAGGAAATACTTAAGGGCTGAGCATATTCAGGTTTTAAAATACAACTATTAAGAGCCAGTGTAAAGATCCTACAGAATTTCCTTTGCAATCTACTTTTGCCATGCTAAACAAAATCACTATAATGTGTGTAAAAATCGTATTGCTACTTACCCATTGAACACTTTATTCACCACTCACTATCCAGAGAACAATCAGAGAAAGCCATCTAGAAAGAAAGATCATCTAGCAAAACCAAGTACAGAATCAAAAGTCTCTGGACTCCTTACATAAATCTCTGGACTCCTGTTGTAAATTCTCTCTGGTTTCACATTTTCTACCTGATTACCCAAACACTCTCTGGGACAAAGCCTGAATCTATTGCCTCTAGGCTAATTTTTCTGACTAGTCTTTAGATTAAGGAGTATTGCTGTTGAATTCTTACAGAAGAAAGTCAAAGGAACCAAAGTAATGTCTGCCTGGAGAAGGCCCATCCTTGGACTGCCCAGCAGTATCTAAGCCCAAAGTTCCTTCCAGGCTTCACAGTTTGCCAAATATAGTTAGTGACCCCAGATCTCCACCCCCAAAGTGATTTATCTCCCCCTGTACATCAACTGTGTTTAAAATCTTTAAGCTCAAGTGTTGCTTGGGAAAAAATCATATTGATAGAAGAAAAAACTTTTAAGCCAGGTTTGGTCTGGAAAGTTCTCTCTTCCATACTCCATCTGTATGCTATACCGGTATACAGATAGTTCATCAAGAGCCAGCTAGACCAATCACTCTTCCTTTTAATTGCCTTTTTCTTTCTTTTTTTCCCCCACTTTTATCTACCTTTCCCAGGACTTGAAATCCTCATATTTGCAGTCCCCATAACACAGTACAGTGGTCCTATATCCATCTGTGCATCAGAAACATCAGCTCATCTAGATAGAAGTATAGACATTTTGGGTTCAATCCCTAGTACATTAAAAAAAAATTAATAAAATTTTAAAAATAAAGGGTAGGCATCATGGGATCAAAAGAAACTTTTTAGGGTTATGAAAATGTTCCATATCTTGATTGTCTTAATAATTAGACTGTATAAGGGCTGGGGTTGTGGCTCAGCGATAGAGTGCTTGCCTAGCATGTGTGAGGTGCTGGGTTTGATCCTCAGCACCACATAAAAACAAATAAAATATTGTGTCCAACTACAACTAAAAACAATTTTTTAAAATAATAATAATTAGACTGTATACAACTACTATGGTTTTCAAACTATACATGGCTGTATTTTATTTTATGTAAATTTTACCTCAATAAATTTGGAAAAACAAAACAAAACACTGGAGGGTCAGGTTGACCTCACACTATAGAATCAGAGCACAGGAGCAGGAATTTTAATGAGTTTCCTCAGTGGCTATGATGCACAGCTAGAGCAAAGACTACTTAGAACAATGAAAAAAAACTAGACCGTTAGATAGTACAGGGTCCAAATGTACTTACTAGAATCATGACCCTAAGCAAGTTACTTTATAAGCCTTAATTTCATCATAAAAAATTAATAACAATAATAACACCTCCCAGGGTTGTTAAGGTTTAAATGTGAAAGTATACAAAGCGTTTGGCAGACAACTGGGCCTGTAATAAGCACTCAGTAACCATTAGCAGCTACTATTTCATTGTCTATGCCAGTGCTACCAAACTATGCCTCTATGAGCTCTGGGTCCTGGAATCAAGCAAAAACTTGGCCAGGATAGGGGCTACACTGGAGCCACGTTAACATCTCCAATGGTCACTATTACCTAGAGATCAGCAAGGACTAGAAAAGACCAAAGCTAAATTAAGGCCCACCCACACCTTTAACCACCAAAACTTCCCCTCAGATTCTGGACTACTTGCTGAATAGGCTCTCCCTACAACTGCTTAGAGTACCCCCCAAAAAAGCCAGGCAAAAGCTGAAAAAGGAACTTCAGGCCCCAAAATGTCAAAAGGTAAACAGAACAGCATCTTATCCAGAAGAATGCTTGGCTTTCCTCAGGACTAGTCCTCTGAGGGTGTAAGAATCCATGTCCTGCCAGGCAAGGTGGCAAACACTTGTAATCCCAGCGGCTTGGGAGGCTGAGACAGGAGGATCGCAGGTTCACAGGCAGCCTGAGCAATGGCAAGGCACTAAGCAACTCAGTGAGACCCTGTCTCTAAGTAAAATACAAAAATAGGATTGGGGATATGGCTCAATAGTTGAGTACCCAGGAGTTCAATTCCTAGTACCCTCCCCATTAAAAAAAGAATCCATGTCCTGAAAAGATTCAAAAATAAAATCATGCCAGGCACAATGGTGCAGGCCTGTGACCCCAGTACTTTAGAAGGCTGAAACAGGAGGGCCACAAGTTCAAAGACACCCTCAGCAATGTTGAGGCGCATAGCAATTCAGTGAGAATCTGTCTCTGATAAAATACAAAATAGGGCTGGGGATGTGGCTCAGTGGTTGAGTGCTCCCAAGTTCAATCCCTGGAACCAAAAACTAAAATAAAATCACCCATGATGTTTATGTTGCACTTTTAGCTTACAAATCTTTTTCTTTTTCTTTAATATAGAACGCTTCACAAATTTGCACGTCATCCTTGAGCAGGAACCATGCTAATCTTCTCTGTGTATCATTTCAATTTTACTACATATGCTGCTGAAGCGAGCACTTAATCTTACAAATTCTCCATGTCCATAATTTCCTCTGACTCAAGATAACATTCCCCTGAATAATAATTCCTATTTCTTGAATTTTTACTCTGGGCTAGACCCTGAACTCTGAAGTTCACATGTATCACTCTTATTGACTTCTTAACCTTATGCAGGTTATGTGAGAGAACTGAGGTTCTGAGAGTTAAATAACTTGACCAAGGCCCATAGGTAGTAAATGACAGAGCTGGAATTTGAACCCAGGTCTGCCAAACCCCACAGGCAACTATTTGTTATTGTACAGGGCAGGCTCTATCCCTATCTTATTACCTTTATTTTAGAGAGAAGCCAATTGAGACAGAGACAACTGTCAACTCAGAAGGCCAAAGCTAGGTGTGAGTTAAGACCTCTCCTAATGCCCTTTCCATGTCACCTCTAGGGGAACAACAGCATTTGAACCCCTAAAAATATTACATAGAAGCTGGCACTGGAGGCTTCTAAACACCTAGTATTAGAAAGAAGGAAGGAAGGAAGGAAGGAAGGAAGGGAGGGAGGGAGGGAGGGAGGGAGGGAGGGAGGGAGGGAGGAAGGAAGGAAGGAAAAAGAAAAAGAAAAAGAAAAATTGGTCTCTGTTCATCTAGCTTACCAGTCAGATCTAGCAAAAGACTCCTCTTGGGGAGAACTACAGGAGCACCACTGGACCTCAGGAGAGTCAAAAGTCAGGCCAAACATAGCAACAAGAAGGGGCTTCACACATACCAGTAGTACATTGCAGTCTGAGTCTTCCTGAGAATTCCTTCTTCTCCCAAATCTGCAACTGATGCCCTCTGCTGGTAAAAGTGTACATCTCTCCATAACAAAAATGAAACAATTTTACACCAGTGGTTTAGGAAGGTTTAGGTGGGTAAAAAATTCATTTCCTTCTCATTCTACTGAAGAATGAGCATTAATTCTTTCTTATGACTTTTACACAGGTACATGCTAGTTTAAACCAACTGTCTTGATTCTCTTATCTGCTTCCCTTGCCTCAC